AGCTTATCGTTTATTATCTTCTAGTTTATTAGTTTAACTATCTTAGCGGTAGCTATAGCGAGCTATCTATATTATTCCTCTACTTCGTTATCGAGATAATATAAGTAGTCGACCGTTACTCGCTATATATCCCGTATTAAGTCGAATATAAACCTAGGTTCGTCGTATACTAAGTCGATAAAGTTCTTACGGCTAAGTTTTCTATCGCGTAAATACTCGAGTAGATTATCTAGCTAAGGCGTAACCTAAATAAAATATATATTATAGTCTTTACGAGGAAGATCGTTAGGTCTAGCTAAGGAGCTCTATCGATATATACTATACGACTCTCCCTAACCGGGTTCTTTATTAATACCTAGGTATACTATATTAATAGGTACTACTGTATCGATTATTTAAAGGGAAAAGAGAAAAATAAGAGAAGGTAATATATAAAGACTTAATAACTCGTAGTAAGCGCCGGTCTATCGTATAAAGGTAAAAAGAATATTAAAGATCTTAGTTTTTATATAACTCCTAGATAGTATAGCTACGATAACCTATATATAGAAGAAGAAAGGTAAAGTAACTATATCCTATATAACGAAGAAAACTAAGATAAAGAAGAAAAAGGAAAGGAAGAAATAAGGAAGGTAAAGTACTATCTTAAATACCTATCGTAGACGGGGCTATAGTAAGACGGCAGAATCCTTATAGAAAGTCCCGGATAGAAGGTTCCTCTATAGAAGTAAACCGAAAGGTAAATAACCCTTAGGCTCTAGCGTATATATACGCGTAAGACTTCTATTAATAACGCGTAGGTAAATATCTGATCTTATAAACGTAAATATCGATTATATAATCTCCTCCTTAACTCCCTAAGTCTATATCCATTAACTAGCTAACTAACCTACTAGTTAATACTAACTCGCCAGTCGGCTGACTAACTGGTCAGTGAACTCACTAGTTCACGGTAACTGACTAGTTGACTCATCCAACCAACTCTACACTCTAAGTCTGTTCACGAACTGGTCAACCGACTAGCTAGTTGACTATTGACTTGTTGCCCATACGTTATAACTTCGTACTACGAGTAGTTAGTAATTTAAGCTAGATCCTTAGGGATCGTTTAGTCTCGAGAGCTTAGTAGGAGTAGTTCTAAGTAAGCTTTCGCTCTTAAGTAGTTAAGTATAGAGGCTTAGCTAATATAAGGGATTACTACCAGATAAGATCTAGAGGATAGATAGGATATAATTCTTCTAAGTATAGCTACAGGCGTAACTATATATATACAGAGGACTAAGGGTCCTTACGTAACCGACCGGAGCCGTACGGTAAGGTTATGGCTTATCTGGCTCTAGTTATCGCGAAAGGGAAGGGTTAGGGTACCTAAGATAGCTATAGGCCCGGGATCATATTCGTCGTGGCGTCCTGTCTACTATCAGTAGCCGATGAGCGGTGTTCGACCATCCTCCAAAGTCAGGCAAGTAGCTGTCCAAACATTCTATCTAAATATATAGCTCATCCCTTATCTCCTAGTACTGATGGATGAGAGTAGTAGCTCGAATAGTTAAGCGCCGAGAAGTGACAAATATAAGACACGCCACCTATATCAAGGGAATCCTATCTAAATTTAGATACCTAACCGCCCACGAGTTTCAGCATCTCGTCGTTGCAAGCGTCAATAAAATGGCATGGCCAATAATTTGGGCAGTTACGAGTCCTGTACTAGGATGGATATCGCAATATAGAAGACCTAGCTCCGCGCCCAAAGAAGTTTGCCGTACGCCCCAATATCGAAAGATCTCTCTGCGTGACAGTGTTCATCCTAGACTCTCTTCTTCATCCAGCTTTACTTTGAAACCATGGCTACTGCTAAAGGGGGAGTCAATTTTGTTCGGATCTTCTTCTACAGTGGTAACACTATCAGCGCTGAACGCAAGAAGAGCCTGGTAGCTCTAGCCTATGCGACAGCACGGGATCAACTGCTGGCTCCTAAGGCAATCTTGATTCGGTTAGTAGCATTCGATTTGTTCTTTTGGTCTGAAGGAAGTGTTGCGGCGCTTCGCCCACTGGATATAGATTCGAACATAGCTCCTTGCCAAAGTTTTGTGCGGATGTATGTCTCCATAAACATTGACGCTAACCAATAGCTATCCAGATCCGACATGCACAATACCACCACGAGCAAAAGCGGACATGTGATGGATCCTAAAGGCTGGCATGGGACCTTCGCTTTCAAGGCCAGCGATCAACTCCTACGTGAATACCATGTAGCGTCACACGGATATACCAACGGGAAAGAGGACTTTACTCTTAAGGAAGCTACTCATACCTCAGAGAAAGCGGACAACACTCGCCGTGGCGGGCCCTTGTCTGATAAGGTTGTCTGGCCACCTGAAGAGTTCCTTGAAGAATATAAAGAGAGTCCCATCGCCTACTCACACCTACCTGGTCAAGGCTAGGTGCCATCAGAGTCAATGTAGGATGATTCTGAGATGCCCCTGGCCTCAGCAATGAATCTGTTGAGCATCTCTCAGGACAGTGAAATCTAGCGTTTCGGGGATTGAGTATCAATACTTAAGGTTCTCTTCAGATCTTAGTCAGTTTGGAGTGTGGTCGGTATTAGGTGTCAGAAAATGATGGGTACATGGTTCACGAAGTCAAGCATACATTGTGACATACGACGTAGCAAGAATTTTCTACGTATACCATCATGTTGGCACTCCAGGCTTTGTTACATTGCTCATAGTTATTGCCTCATACAGGGCTCATTCTTTGCATGCCTTCAGCATTACCATACTGTTCTAAAGTCCCATTGTATTCCCGGCTGGCCAAAAGGACGCAGTGAGAATTAGCCCACGTATTCAAGTGCCTCTCACTGTATGGATAAAATACACTATTTTCCACTATTTCTCAAGATTTCTTTCCCACATGCCAGCTTCAGACGCGTCTAGAAGAATATGACGACAGTTTTATGGATCGTGAGTTTCGATCGCTTCAAAGGGGATACTTGAAGCTCTGCCTAAAATCAGGCAACGCCCACTTAACCATCCACTCCGACTTTAGTAGCACTTCAGCAGTCGGCCGTTCCTTAGGTCTGAATGACAGCATCTGGCGCATTAAATCCAGAAAAGCAGTTTTCTCGTTTCCTTCAATCCCCTTTCCATCCCGACGCCTCCATTTCTGCACACCGATCTCAAATGACTCTTCAAGAGTAGGCCATCTATTTTCCCTGTGAGACTCTGTTGGACACCCATACTCATCGAAGAATCGAGACCGTCCTTCCCAGTTCTGCCACCACTCGGAAGGCATAGGCCCCAGTACATCTACATGCTGAGACACTATCTCATCCTCATGCACAAAATCGGTGCTAAAAATTGCCTTCATTCCGATGATCTCCCAGATTGCCGTGGCAAGACTCCAGATATCTGAGGGATATCCAAGCGGGTTCTGCGATTCCAATTTGGCTTCTGGAGCGCGGAACGCGGGTGGAGTATGGCAGTCTCGTCCTAGACGAGTTTCCGTGGCTGGAGCAAAAGCCTCACCAAAGTCGCTTAGAAGGACGTGCACGTCGGATAATGAGAACTCTTCGGCATATTTGCCTAGGAAAAGGGGCAAAAAGGCCTTGGTCGGAGCGTTAGGGGGCAATGGCTCACCGTCACATCGAGTAACAGGTACTGCCTCAGGTTCACCAAATTTTTCATATAGTTGCTTGATAGAAAGATCGTCGAAACTTGGTGGAAGCTTGATCAAAATGTTGCTCAAATGAATATCTAGATTGAAAAAGATATTTCTTATCAGTTACTTGTACGAAATTGAAACAGTTGTCATCGTTATAACATACCTCCATGAACATAGCCTTGTGAATGTGTATAAGCAACGGCCTGCGCAAGTCCATATGATAATGCTCGACCAACTTCGAGGGGAAAAAGGCGGCTAAAGGATATCTCTCTCAAGTTGCATTGTGCAGGGGCCATTGTGTAGCACGTATGCTCTCCATTGGGCCCTCGCACCTTGAACTCATCTAGGAAAACAGATATTAAATCGCGCCCAGGGTGTACGGGCGAAGACCTAGGGAGCGGAGCAGATAGAGCCTTGAGAATCTTTGCCTCGCGCCGAAGAGAGTTTGCTGTGTTGATCTTGACAGCAACATATCGCTGTAGGCGAGTGTCCCGGGCAAGCCAAACCGTCGAATAGCCTCCAAAACCAAGCTTGTCTACAATGTGATATCGGTCTTGTAGGACGTCCCCGACCATAACAGGATGATAACCTCCAGGCCGGTATTCTTCAAGTGACTCCACGCCCTTAACCCAGTTGTACTCGATGCGATGGTATTCGGCCATTGTGGAGCCCAGGCGTCCAAAGGTGCTCAGGTCGACGTTTTGCCCTTTTGGTCGGTGCGGAAGGGATTTGAAAAATGGGACAGGATGCCGAGATTGCGCCGGTGAGACAGAAACGCGGAGGGGGTTGGCAAGTATATTCAAGCAGCGTGTCATAGTATACTGGCATGATTGGAGGAGATGACAACTAAGGAAGGGTGAAGATGATCAAGGGAATCGACGCCGTCACACTCGGCTCGATAAAATCACGTGCTCGTTTGACTTACTAAGTAATCTCCATAGACGTGGCTCTCAAGTGGTGGTACTACGAACAGCCGTCAGAGGGAAAGTGTTTTCGAATGGCATTGGCATAAGTTAGCCTTAGCTTGTGTTTGCTCTAGTAAATAGGCCATTTTCTTTGCACGTGGGCACCAGTGACGTACTCCCTCCGGTTGCCAGTTATCAGCCGTAGGAACCGATATTGTCACACATTATCCGCCTTATCTTATCACCACATAACACCCGAATCCCGCTCCTTTCCTGCAGCATAAACCACCTATACCCCAAGAACTGGCCAGATAGTTAGCAAACGGCACATCTCTCATAGCAACTGAGATTACTCCACTAGGGAGTTTCCAAGAGCTTCCTCTGACACCGCCACTGACGAAAGAGAAATCGTTATCGAGAAATGCTTAACGCATGCTAAACTGTTTTAAACTTCACCGAGCAGGCCAGAGGCCACGGTTTTGGTGGCAGCACCGGCTCGCTTTAAACGATTATACAGAGACTTTGCGTGCGCTAGACGATGATAACCTTCTTAAAGTTTAAATTAAGGATAAAGTGAGGTGAGTATTGCTAAGCTTCGCTATATTAAAGACGTATTCATTTAGCTATATTCTAGGTACGACTACGATCCTTGTTGTTCCTATCTAACTATCCGAATACTAAGTACGCTCTACGATATCTTCTGTATAAAGATAGTCGAGGAGATTTCACGATAACTGAAGTAACTTAAGTATAAAGGGAAAGCCTGCGCTGGTTTTGTGAAGAAGGTCTAGTACCTTATTACTTCCCGAATCCTAATACCTAACGAGATAAGAGATAGAAAGCAGATTTATTCTAAGCAGGAGCTAAATACTTTATTTAAGTACCGGCTAGTACGTTTCCCTGGTATTATTATAGAGGTATAGTATTTACAAAAAAGTCGATATATTTCGTACTTAGCGGATAAGTATATCCTAAATACTAATAGGAGTATAAACGCGGTAGTCGCTATAAGAGAACTCCCTTTATTAAAGTACCCCGTTAGGTAACCCGTAGTCCGGTGATTATCAGATAACCCGTAAGCTATGATCTAGGTCTAGCCACGTGATAGTTAGGAGTAAGGCCTTCCCGTAGCTTCCTAGAAGCTATTACGGCGCGACCTACTAAGGCACGGCCACGGGATAATCATATACGGAACGTTAACGAATCTATCTAGGTTATAGCCCTAAGGATACGGGCCCGGTATATAGGAGGTATATATATAATAATCGTAGAAGGGAGGAAGAACTCCGACCTTTAAGATTTAGTCTTTAAATTTAAGCCCCCCTAGACTTTAATCCTTTACCTAGTTAATAGTCCTAGTTACCCTACGATCCTAACCCTAATAATTAATAAATCTTTTTTTTAACTACCTAAAGGAAAGATATCTAATCTACTAACTTATCGGTATTCTATCCGTCTTACGGCTACTAAGTATTCTAAAGGCTATACCGAGATATAGAATCTATAAGCTAGTAAGAGTCAAACTCCGCGGATCTCTATTAGTTATTATAGCACGACCTACTAAGGCGCGGCCGCGGGAGAATCACGTACGGAACGCTAACGAATCTATCTAGGTTATAGCCCTAAGGATATAGGCCTAGTATATAGGAACTATATATATAATAATCGTAGAAAAGAGGAAGAACTCCGACCTTTAAGATTTAGTCTTTAAATTTAAGTCCTTCTAGACTTCGATTCTTTATCTACTTAATAGTCCTAGTTATCCTACGATACTAATCCTAATAATTACTAAATCTTCTTTTTAACTACTTAAAGGAAAGATATCTAATCTACTAACTTACTAGTATTCTATCTATCTTATAGCCGCCGAATATTCTAAATACTATACTAAGATATAGAATCTATAAGCTAGTAAGAGTCTAACTCTATAGATTCTTACTAGTACTTCTCTTAGCTCTACTAGTAAGACTACTCTCTCTATATCTAGTTCTAGATCTCCTATACTAGGAGATTCTAGTATACTAGAGTTACTCTAAGCTAGGATCTACTAACTAGAATAAGAGGCGATATTTCTATAATAGAATATAACTAAACCGGAACTCCTAGTTATATCTCGATCTTAATATAGTATAGAGATTAAGCTTAATTATATCTTCTATTAATTAAGCTTCTCCTTCTCTCTTAAATAGTATAACTAATAGCTTAATAAAATCGAGTATATCTTTAATATAAGTCCTAACTATTTTACTAATAATTTATACCGAATCTCTATTAGGTTCTTTAAACTTAAATCTATCTAATAGATCTAATAGACTAACTATTAGAAGACCGAATTCCTCTATATCTATCTTATCTAGTCTAACTTTATTAACTAGACTCTAGAGTTTATTTAAGAAAACTAATTTACTAATACTAATATTATAGAAAAATATTATAGCGCCTAGTAGCTTTCTAACTAAGACCCCTAAGTATTTTATAACTATTTCTAATTAATTAAAAACTATATATATCTTTAAAAAAAGAAGTAAGCTCTTAGATACTATTTTAAGCTCTACTCTTTTCTTAAAAATAAACTTAAGATATTATATTAGAATAATCTATCTAATAACTAAACTAATATAGTTTCGGTAGTAATCTATATCTAGGATAGCTATAGTTTTAGTAGAATAGGAAATAATTATATAGCTAGATATAACTCTAAGAAATATTATAGGAGTCCGATAACTCTAATCTCCTAATCGGATCTATCTAAAAAATAGAAATCCTTAAATACTTCTAATTAGATAATATATCCTAACCGGACTATTCTTAGAATATTATCGTGATATAATTAGTCCTCTAATCGGAAGGATTACTTATATATTACTTATTTCTAATATAATAAGAAAGGATACTATATCTCTAGCTATCCTTAAGAATAAAAATCTAGCTAGAATACCTAGATTAATAAAATTATAGAGAAGCTAATCTATTCTTTAGGAAATAATAGTAAGTCGGAGTAGACTCTATATCTCTAACTCTCTAGTCTATTATAGAGATCCTTTCTATAATCTAGATAGCTATATAGATCTAATAAGATATAGTTATAGTTAGCTTTAATACTAGAGCTAGTATTAATATAATTAATCTTAATTTTATAAGAATATATAAGCTTAACTAGATATCTCTCTATATCCTAGGACTCCGCGACTATTACGACTATTTTAGTAATACTAAAGATATATATTAACTCCTAATTACTACTATAGATAGCTATAGCGCTACCCGGATATAGAGCGTCGACTATTATATAGTTATATAGAAATATAGATCTCCTATACTTCTCGGAATACCTAGATTAATTACCTAAGGAATTATTCTCGATATAGATATATATTAATAGTACTTTAGGATAAACCGGAAAAATCTTAAGTTACTCTTCTTCTATTAGTTTATAAAATATCTTCGTAACGAAGTATATATCTTCGCTATTATTCCCTACTAGATAGTATCTAACTTTAATAAAGATAATTAACTAAGTATACTATTCTCTTATACTATTAAGGATTTATCCGAAATACCGCTAGATCCGGAAGAAATTAAAGTCTAGTCTCCTAAGTTCTAAGACTTTATAGATCTTTATTCGGTCTAGAAGACTAAGACTCTACTATAATATAAGAAAACTAACTATATAATTAACTTACTTCTAGATAAGTCTCTATCCTATAGACTAATCTATCTATTATTAAGAACTAAGTTAAAAGAATTATAAGAGTATATTTAAGTTAATCTTAAAAATAGGAGGATCTAACTATCTAAAAGTCCTATAAGTATATCTATTCTTTTTATTCCTAAGAAGGATAGTAGTCTCTATCTTTATATTAACTACTAAGGACTTAACTATATTTCGGTAAAGAATTATTATCTCTTATCTCTTATCGCGGAAATCCTTAATAGACTTACGAGAGCTATAGTCTTCTCTTAAGTTAATATCTACGAGACTTACTACTATATAAGTATTAAGAAAGATAATAAGTAGAAAATAGTCTTCTATATCTAATATAGCTATTTCGAATATATAGTAATACTATTTAGACTTATAAATATATCTACTATATTCTAAAATTATATCTATATTATATTATAAGAATACTTAGATATCTTCTATATAGCCTACTTAGATAATATCCTAATCTTTTCTTCTAACTAGGATTCCTATATAAAATATATCTATTTTATCCTAGAAAGACTTTATTAATATAAACTCTATATCTATCTATTAAAATATATATTCTACTAAGAATATATAGAATTCCTAGACTATATAGTAAATTCTATAGAAGTAATAATAAATAAATCTAGAGTAGAAGCTATCTAAAAATAGTTCTAACTAACTACTATCTATAAGATCTAATCTTTCCTCGGATTTTATAACTTCTATCGATACTTTATCTATAACTACTCTAGTATTATAAAATCTCTTACCGATCTTATAAAGAGGATAATAAATAGCTAATAACTAGGAACTTTCGAACTTAAAGCCTATAAAGTAGTTATATTCCGCTAATTAATTCGAGTCTTTAAAATAACGCTAGTTCTCCGATATTTTAATCCCGACTAGAAAATTAAACTTAAGATAGATATCTCTTAGTAGGAAATAGCTAGTATCCTATTATAACTAGATAATAAGAAGATCTAGTATCTAGTTATATTTTAGTCTTATAAGTTCTTTAATACCGAAAGCTAATATACTACTAGAGATTAAGAACTTTTCGCTATTATATATTCCTTTAAGATATAGTAATACTACTTAGAGGGATCCTAGTACTAAATCGAGGTCTTTTCCGATTATAATAATATATATTTCTTTATATAGAACCCTAAACTATATAGTTACTAAATATAATAGTATATAATCCTTTTAATATTTAACTTTATTATTTTATACTATATAAGGAAAAAGAATCCTATAGATATACTTTTAAGGATAATAAAGTCTACTTTAAAAGATATCTTAAATACTACTCTATTAAATCTATTATAAGACTAAATAGAAGCTAGGATAGTAATCTATCAGGAAGAGATAGCGATATAGATAGTACTAGCCGATCTATATAAATTTAAAACTAAATTAATACCTGATCTAGAGGTAGATAGAATCCTAGATATATCTTTAGATATCTAGAGATAAGAGTTAGATTATATCTAGAGCTTATACTATAAAATAGTAAAAAATATATATAAAGATAAAAGTACCTATTATAGTAGGGAATCCGGTTATATATATATAGAGTAGATAGTCTGTTAAGGTATATATACCTAATAGTAGCCTTATAGTCGGGAGAGGCTATTTAGATATAAGAAGAGGGAGTTAATTAACTTAATAACTATAATACGACGGATAACTAAATAGATATAAAGGATATTATTAGGGGGTCTGTATCGTAGGATAGAGAACCTATTAGCTAGGTAGAGAGTCTAAGTCTATAGTTCTGATTTTTAAAGACTAAATCTTAGGGTATAGTAGACTTTACTAGTTCCTATAATATATATATAGGGGTTCCGTGTACCGAGTCCCTATAGCCCTATATAGAGCCTTTAGGGTTATTACCCTAAGGCAACGCGGGGTCGATTCGATCGTAAATCGTCCTAAGTTACTATATATAACTTACGCCGTAATAATTATTCCCCCCTTCTATACTAGTTATCCTAACTAGGGATATTCTTATCTAGGAGATACTATAGTCCGGACTTTATTATAGTACTAAGAGAAGAAATTATAGATATATTATATATAGAATACTATATCCTTAAATTTAGGAGATATAGATATAAATAAAGAATTACTATATTATATAGCCGTAATCTCCTATTACTATTAGCGATACTATTTAAAAGAAATTACGGTAGGATACTTAATCTCTATTTACTAGATTAATATTAG